TAGAATTCAACCACTTCTCACTACTTCAATGGTTACCATCTCTTGTCTGAAAATTACTACCACATTCCCCTCACCCACCTCCCTGGTTCTCCTCTTTGCTTCTTATGGCCTATCTCCACACAGTAGCCACTGTGGTCTTGATAAAATCTGAACAAGACCAAGTCTGTTTTCTGCTCAGAACCCTCTGGTGGTACCCTATGTCACTTAGAGAAAAAGCCAGACTCTTTGGCAGCTACAGAGCCCAAGGCAGCTGGAGCTCCGAGCCCCTCAGACTTGCTTTCTACGGCTCTGCCACTTTACTCCACTCCAGGGGCACGGGCCCTCTGCTCTCCCTTGACCACACCAGGCATGCTCCTACCTACTAGCCTTTGCTCTGCTTTCTTGCCTGAAATATCTCTGCCTCGATGACCACTTGACTAACATCCTCACCTCCTTCTCACCAAATCTTGCTCAAATCTCACCTCCAACTACCTTATTTAATATCTAAAAATGCAACCAGGATCACGGCATCCGATTCCATCACTTCATGGCAAATAGATGGGGAAACAGTGGAAATAGTAGCTGACTTTATTTTTTGGGGCTCCAAAATCACTGCAGATGGTGATTGCAGGCATGAAATTAAAAGACGCTTACTCCTTGGAAGGAAAGTTATGACCAACCTAGACAGCATATTAAAAAGCAAAGACATTACTTTGCCAACAAAGGTCCGTCTAGTCAAGGCTATGGTTTTTCCAGTGGTCATGTATGGATGTGAGAGTTGGACTATAAAGAAAGCTGAGCGCTGAAGAATTGATGCTTTTGAACTGTGGTGTTGGAGAAGACTCTTGAGAGTCGAGTGGACTGCAAGGAGATCCAACCAGTCCATCCTAAAGGAATCAGTCCTGAATATTCATTGGAAGGACTGATGCTGAAGCTGAAACTCCAATACTTTGGCCACCTCATGTGAAGAGCTGACTCATTTGAAAAGACTCTGATGCTTGGAAAGATTGAGGGCAGAGGATGAGATGGTTGGATGGCATCACTGACTCGATGGACATGAGTTTGGGTAAATTCCGGGAGCTGGTGATGAACAGGGAGGCCTGGTGTGCTGCGGTTCATGGGGTCACAAAGAGTCAGACACGACTGAGCGACTGAACTGAACTGAATGCCCTTCTTTTTCCCTTTACACCCCTCCATCTATTCTGATTCCTCTTTACTCTGCTCAATTTTTTCTTTTTTCTAAAGCACATGAAAGTGAAAGTGAAGTCATTCAGTTATGTCTGACTCTTTGCAACCCCATGGACTGTAGCCTACCAGGCTTCTCCGTCCATGGGATATTCCAGGCAAGAATACTGGAGTGGGTTGCTATTTCCTTCTCCAGGGGATCTTCTCGACCCAGGGATCGAACCCGGGTCTCTCACATTATAGGCAGACACTTTTACTGTCTGAACCACCAGGGAAGTCAATCATCTTTTAATATAGTTTATTTATTATACCTATTATCTCTTTCTACCACTATCAGTATTTTTTTCCCTGCCACTATAATATAAACTCCATGGGGGCAGGGACCTTCCATCTGTTCCACTCACAAATCATGACATATCCCAAGCATCTAGAAAAGTGCCTGGCACAGACAGGTGTTCAGAAACTGTTTAAGATTTAAGAATTTCATCCTAAGATGAGTAAGCAATGAGAACGCTAAGATACTGGGAAGCCAGTTCACCTAGGATGATGCATACCGCTTACACTCTGGCTTGAGTAAAATGGAGAGCTTTCTGGAAAGTAACGGGATCTTCCTATTTTAAAATCTTCCCATAAAGAAGTCACTGTCAGAGATGGATTTTCAAGCATATTCCATAACACCCCAAAATGCCAAGCTTAAACCACCTCTCCACACACACACACACACACACACACACACACACACACTAAACAGTAAAAGGAAGAATAGTCCCCAATTAACTTTATGTGGCTAGTAAAATCTTGAAGCCAAAAAAAACCAAAAGAGTTCTAGAAAGGAAAACTACATATTAATCTCTGAACAAATTTTAAGTCCTGGACAAAATATTGGCAAACCAAATTTAGAAATGTATGTCAGTCATAATAGCTAACATTTACTGAGCATTACACTAAATGGACTAACTCATTTAATCCTGACAACCCTGTGTTGTGAATACTATCACCTATTTTACAGATGAAGAAGCTGACACACACGGAGAGGCTAAGTAATCTGCCAAAGTCCATAAGCAGAAAGTAGAGATCCTGGACTTTTCAAATATCAATGAGGTTCTGACTTAACTTCTCTGGGGGTTGGACCTGATGCTTTTTAAAGCACCCCAAGTGATGCTGTTATGTTGCCAGGGTTGTAAACCAGTGCACAAAGTCCATAGCTAAGGCTTCCCCCACCCTGAGAGTGATACATGGACACAGCCAGGGTGAGAGATGTTTTAGTGAAAATTTAAATATGAAACAAGAAACAGAGAGGAGAAATCAGGGTAACTCTATGACCGTGTGTCCCCACATTGCCTTTCTAGAATTCTAGAAGGTTTAAGATTTCATGCTATTAACACCTAACAGATCCATTCTTCTTCATCTTTGGAGAAATTTGTCTGTCAGTTTATTTCTTTGGCGTGGAGTACCCCCGACCCCCCAAAAGAGTTTGGTAAAACATACTAGCAGCTTATAATACTAAAGTTATTTTCAGAACAAAAAAACAGAGTGCTACTTTAAAGAAAGAGTAGCAAAAAGCGGGAATAACTCAAGAGGTCAGCCAAATATTTTTCAAAAGTATAACTGGAAAATTGTCCCTGAGCTGCCCAAAGACCAAGCCTCCTTCCCCCGCATCTGTTAACTGAAGCTGAAGCTGCAAAGGGATCTCGACACTGTTCTCCCTGTATCCTGCTGCGAGGCAGGGGGCTGTGGCTCCGTGAGGCCAGGACTGCAGTCCCAGGCAGCACTGCTAGTAGAGACAAGGCAATAACTGCTACCCCGCAGTCTAGAGGAGGCTTTGTGAGAAGGGCTGGGGAGAAGCACGTGCTGTCTCGGCTACCCAGGGAGGCTCCAGCCCACTGCCCCATCCATGCCCCTCTCCAAGGAGGAGCACACGCGCTCGCAGTTCCCCAAACCATGAGCAACAGCTTCGGCTAACACCACTTCTCCCTGATCCTGCAGAATCAGAGCTCCTCAGCCTTCAAGAAACTGGCACTACTACAACTCCATCACTTCCCAAAGCTACTCTTGTAGTTTCGGCACAGCATTTTTCAGGGTGGGATACAGGAAAAACTATTAAGTCAAATAAATAACTGCAGACTGAACTCTGGGCCCTTAGCCTTGGTTGTTCTACAGAGCAGGCAACGAGCCAACCGCCTCTGCCACTTTCAACCCTGTGTGCTACTTCCCAGAAATCAGAGCTGGTGCAGGCAGCCTCCCTGCAAAAGGGAGTTAGAGACCTAATGGTCCAGACACAGAGAACTTCCGATCATGTCTCCCCACGCTACTCCCATTGTGCCTTTGCTGATACTGTCCACCAGACATGCTCTCTCCCACATCCCTTTCTCAAGTGCTTCTAACCTTTCAAAGCCCAGCTCAAACCTCACTTCCTGTAAGATGTTCTCCCAAATCCCACATCCACTCCTGCATTAACTTCACTTATACCTCTGTTACAAAAATAGCATCACTCACCCTTTCCCCTTTTTATTTTCATTTTTTCCTTTTGAATTTTTAATTTTGCATTGCGGTATAGCTGATTAACAATGTTGTGACAGTTTCAGGTGAGCAGCGAAGGGACTCAGCCACATATACACATGTTAAGGAGTCTGGGAGGTCATGCACACCCTGCTGTATTTACGATGGATAACCAACAAGGGCCTACCGTACAGCACAGGGAATTCTGCTCAATGATATGTGGCAGCTTGGATGGAATGGGTTTGAAGGGAAAATGGATACATGTATATGTAACTTTTCCCCTTTTTAGATAGCCATATATCTGTCTCCAGCAAGAAATCTGGCCCTGGGGGAAAATGACCAAGTTTCATAGATCTTTGTTCATGCTTTTCAGTATCTCCAAGAAGACCTTCCGGAAGTATTTGTTTAACAGATCGGAATTCCAGCTGCATTGAGAAGCTGCTCTGCTGGTCTGACCTTGGTTTGCTATGGACACAACGTGGTGCTCTTCCACTTTACAAGTCTTCTTTTGTTAGCGTGCTTTGAATATAACCGTTAAAAAGAATTTTACTACTTTCCTTCCCATATGATTTCTTATTTTTTTTTAATTGAATACAGTTCATATATCATATAACATAAAATTCACTTTTAAAGTATACACTTTAGTGGTCCTTAATATATTCACCAAGTTGTGTAATCATCACCACTGTCTAATTCTATAATGTTTTCATCAACATTACCAACATTCATCAACATTTCATCAAAGGGTAAAGAAATCCTTTACCCTTAAGTAGTCACCCCCCTACTGCCCCATAATCTCAATCTACTATCTTTAATATATATGATTTTAACAAAACTTACAACACTCTTCATTGTGGTTTTATCATACCTTAAGGCCAATTTTACCTTCAAAAAAAAAGCTTCTCTCGTTTTAACATAACTCAAAAGAAAAATGTGATTTAATATAGCAACTTACTAAGGCATCATTTCAGGATACAAAACAAAAATTCTTACCAGGAAAATCAGCCTACATGTTTACTTTCTCATTTGTTTTTGTTTTGTTAAGCTTCTTATTGAAGAAGTATAATATACATATAGAAAAGGACACCTATCATAGGGTATATCTTGATAAGTTTTCAAAAACGGAATCCATAAATATAATCAGCATTCAGATCAAAAGCCAAACAGAAGCTTCCACCACGTCTCTCAGTCACTACCCACCTCCAGAGAGTAACCACTAGCCTTACTTCTAACAGCACAGATTACTCCCGCCTGTTTCTGTACATTTATAAATAGAAGCATATAGTTTGCAGTATAATAAACTCTCACAATGCAACTCTATGCCTTGTAATACTCACCATAATCTTTTTGTACAAAGCCATGACATTATCGTCATCAAATGGTAGAAAGCCACACATAAGTACATATAAGAGTATGCCCATGCTCCAAACATCTGCCTGAGCGAAAAAAAATCAAAAGATTAAAATTAGAAGACATTTCAAAATAGCAGTACACAGAATCTTTACAGGGCTGGAAAAGAACTCAGAGATCATCCAATTCAAACCAGCTCATTCTACAACGTGAAGCCCAGAAAAGGAAGGCTCATCCAAAGTCACCCAGCCAACAGCAGGCCACCCAGGCAGGTCTACTGACTTCTAGTTCAGTGCACTCCCCTCCAATGCTTAATAGAAAATCTTTTCCAGTTGGCTGGACTGGGCATGATACGGAAGAAGATGAGGCTAAGTCTCTGATTCTGAAAGAGAAAACTATAGTGCTACTGAGGGCTTACTACATATGAGGATTATGCAAACACGCATGAGAGAGTCAAAACAAGTTTTAAAATTTACTACTGATAATCTGCAGATGTGACTAAGCTGCACTGTAAAGTCCTCTCTATGTACAGAAACCTTAATAAAGTTCAACAAGTGACTTTTCAAGGATCAAGGCTAGAAAGTAGCCTGCCAGTACAAATAGCCCTACAAATCTCAAAATCCCAGGAAGGAGTTAACCTTTCCGTAAGATAGCCATTTGACCACTGGCTGAGAAGTCAGAGTGCCCACCCTCATTTGAGCCTTGGGAAAACTTTAATTTTTATACTAAATAACACCAACCTCACACCTAGTGCTGCCTACCAAATCACATCTTATTATTAGGACTCAACAAGGAACCCCTGGATGAACAGTGTACTTTCAAGTGAACAACTGATTCTTCTTCCAAGTTGCAGGTCAGAAATTAACCATTTATGCCTGAAAGATGTCAAATGCTTCACCTATAAATGGAGTCTTGGTGGCATGGCACTCCTGACCGGGGTGTTAAAGTTACGGTAAACAGGCTACACAAGAGGCACGAGTGGGAAAACTATATTGGGTACCATACTGTGAGCGGAAGTGGAGAAAGTGCTGAAGCTCTATTGGGTGGGGGAGGGAGGGACAGACAGCTGTTCTGCCAAGGAGAGAAATCAGGCAGACTAAGAGGACAGGAAAGGAGATTCGTGGCAGAGGGGGCAACAGGCATAGAGGTGGAACAGCAGAGGCCAGGGGGGCTGGAGCAGAGTGACCAGGAAGAAGAAGGAAAGGAAGAGATCATGCCCTGAGCCTCTGGAGTGGGAGCACTGACCCCAAGACCCTAGACTACCAGAGAACTAACCCTAGGGAGTATCAAAGAGTGAGAACTCACACAAAGGAAACCACTTGAATATAAGAATACAAGACTTGGCATCACCCAACCACCAGCAGCACATCTAAACAACAAACAAAACAAAACTACAAACCCAGTCATCAGCAGGCAGGATTGCCACCTCACTCAGGCTTGCCCATCAGAGAAAAAACAAACAAACTCAGCACAAATCTCACCCTATACAAAGCTTGCACAAACCAGTGGACCAACCTTAGGAGGTCAGAAACCAAAAGGAAGAAAGAATTCAACCTTGAAGCCTGGGAAAAAGAGACCTCAAACACAGTAAGTTTAAATAAATAATGAAAAGGCAGAGAAATACTATACAAATGAAGGAACAAACCAGAAATACATAAGTCCCAATAAATGAAGAGGAACTAGGCAAATTCCCTGAAAAAGAATTCAGAATGATAGTAAAGATGATCAAAAACCTTGAAAACAAAATGGAGAAAATGCAAGACTCAATTAACAAAGACCTAGAAGAATTAAAGAATAAACATACAGAGACAAACAACACAATTACCGAAATTAAAAATACTCTAGAAGGAATCAATAGCAGAATATCTGAAGCGTAAGAACGAATCCGTGAACTAGAGGACAAAATAGTGAAAATAACTTCTGAAGAGCAGAAAAAAGTAAAAAGAACTGAGGATGGCCTCAGAGACCTCTGTGACAATATCAAACACACCAACATTTGAATTGCAGGGGTCCCAGAAGAAGAAGAGAAAAAGGGTATGAGAAAATTTTTGACTAGATTATAGTTGAAAATTTCCTCAGCATGGAAAAGGAAATAATCAATCAAGTCCAAGAGGTGCAAAGAGTCCCATACAGGATAAATCCAAGGAGAAACACACCAAGACACATACTAATGAAACTAACAAAGACTAAACACAAAGAAAGAGGCTACACAGGAAACAGTGGGCTAATACGGCCTCGTCAAATGCCATAAGAAGAGGTCAACAGAGAGACTTCCTCTGAGAAATTACAAAAGGAATTAGAGATGTTTACTATGGAACATTCCATAAAGCACGATCTGAACCATGAGCAACAGAATAATCTAAATTACTTATTTAAAAAAAGAAGATTCCTAAAGCCCCACCTTAGAAAACAAAACCAAAATCTCTAAATATACTGCCCTGGGTTCTGCATATTTTAACAAGTGCCCCCAGACAATGCCTTGGTACACTGTCCTTAAGAAATTATCCTAGAAGGATGGAAAACTGAACTAAAATGGATAAGAAAACAAGATCCTGTGGGAAAACCTTGATGCATTCAAACCAGCAGAGCCTCATCACCAGACCTCTAGGAATCTTGTGAGCATCAGGTATGTGATTACCACTCCTTCTAGGAGACTAGAAAGAGTACAGGTGGGCGGTAAAGCTTCACTCAGTTCAAATCTTGACCCACAGTTGCTAGTTGTGATCCTGCAAAGGCACTTAATTTCTGAGCCCCAGTATCTTCATCATCTTTATCTTATGAAACAGAGTAACAGTATCCACTCCACGGGACTTTTGTGCAGATTAAATGAAAATTATAAAAAGGATCTACCGTGTGGAATCCTTGTGCATTATTACAGGAATGTAAAATGCTGCTGCCACTATGGAAAACAGTATGGCAGTTCCTCAGAAAATTAAAAATAGAACTACCATATGATCTAGCAATTCCACATTTGGGTATATATCTGAAAGAACTGAAAGCAAGGTCTCAAAGAGATATGTGTGTCTACCAGCATTATTCATAATAATCAAAAGATAATAGTAATCCTAGCACCCATGGTAAATGCATAAATAAAATATGGTATATACATGCAATGGTATATTACTCAGACTTAAAAAGGAGGGAAATTCTGATACATGCTCCACAATAAGGATGAACCCTGAAGATATTACACTAATAAAATAAAGCAGTCACACAAAAAAACAATTATTGTATGAGTCCACAATACAAGGTACCTAGCCTAGTCAAACTCACATGGATAGACAGTAGAAGGATAGTTACCAGGGGAGCAGGGAGTGGGGAACGGAGTTACTATTTAATAGGTATAGTCTCAGTTTTGCAAGATTAAAAGAGCTCTGGAGATTGACTGCACAATAATATGAATGTACTTAACACTACTGAATTGCACATTTAAAAATAGTTCAAATAAGAACTGTATCCTTATAAATGGTTAAGATGGCAAATATTATGTCATGTGTATTTTACCACAATTGGAAGAGAAGAAAAAAAAAAGATCTAGCATGATTCCAGGACTATAATAAATATTCAGTGAAAGTCTGTCCATTTCTTATGATGCCCTGAGAAGGCCACAATATCACCTCTGTGGTATTTCTGCCAAAAATGCATAACCCAAAACTAATCAAACAAATTCAAATTGAGGGCCATTTTATAAAATTACCAGCTTCCCCCAAAATTTCAAGGTCATGAAGATGAAGAAAGCCTAAGGAAGTCTTCCAAATTAAAGAACAAAGAAATGCAACAGTACAACACATGATCCTGGATGGAATCCTGAACTGGAGGGAAAATAGAGCTGTAAAAGACACGATTGGTACAATTGACACCATGTGAACATGAATTGTGGGTTAAATAAATTGTACCAATGTTAAACTCTCTGATTTTGATAACTAAAGTGAAGTTATTTTCATACCTAAAAGAAGGACACCTTGGGAATTTCCCAGCAGTCCCATGGTTAGGATTCAGTGCTTTCACTACTGCGGCCCAGGTTCAATCAATCCCTGGTGAGTGAACTAAGATCATCCCACAAGCCACGCAGCATGGACAAAAAAATAATGAATAAATAAGAGAGCCCTTGCTTTTAGGAAATACATACATAGCATCTAATGATAAAGGGGTATGATGTCTCCAACTTACTCTCCATTGGTTCAAAACATAATTTACATGTATATAAACATAGAGAACATTAAAATAGGGAAAAACGTAAACAGCTGTACATTTGGCAAAATATATATAGAAGCTTCTCATTCCATATTTGTAACTATTCTGTAAGTTTGAGAATATATCCAAATAAAAGGTCACCAAAAACAAGTTAGTCTTCATCGTCTCATGTCACAAACTAAGTGAACTGGCATATCTCAAAGTCTCTCCCACGTGACTACCACCAGTTCCAACAGATGCTCCACATAAGAAGTGGACTCTGCAGGCGCATGAAGCAGACCAGCTGCCCTCTGTGACAGTCTCTTCCCGGAGGACACTTAATGTGCAGGAGCACATTAAGATTCAGAAACATCCTGAACTAAAGAACACTGCACAACCCCGTATTTCCAGAGCTTCTGACAACTAAACCTTTTCCATTTTATGACAACATCAGCAAAATCAGGACTCCAAAGAGTGTAAGGGGCTCACTAGCACATGGTAGCCAGTAGTTAAGCAGCAATGCCCAGGGCTTTCTGAGCCTGGGCCTCTTACACGGGACTGTAGGCCTCGGATAAAGTACAGGTTTTCTCTGTGCTAAACACCATCTCTGCAAACTAAGCCCATAATCCTGGCCTCATACACTACCTGGCTGGAATAATCAGTCTAAATTATGGCACTGTTAAACACAAAACACCAGAAATATATCCCTGTTTCACAAGAATACTATGTATTATTATATTTATTGCAAGCTGTTCATTTCCCTTATTACTGTACATATCTCACTCTCTGACTAGACAACTCTTTAACAAGTTTATTTCTTACCTCGTTACATCCTCAACACACAGTGCCTGACTCACTACAGATCACCAGTAAACATATACTGATTATATATTGAATTAATCACTGAATAATTACCTCTGATCCCAGATATGATTTGCCTTGTATTAATTCAGGTGCTGCATAAGCAAGACTCCCACAGCAGGTCTGCAGGTGATAATCCTTGTTACCCTGCCAATAAGATAAAAATGAAACACTTATTAACTACAGCCCTTAAGAGAATTAAAACCCTGATAAACATTCTTCCAATATAAGCAAAGAGATGCTAGATGAGAGTTACCCCAAATGATAAGAGACTTTCTGCCGCCAACTCAATACTCTGCCCATGTGCATGCATGCATGTGTGGCTTCCTCTTCTCTGGATTTCCACCACCACCAAAACCTGGTAGGAAAAAAATCCTTCTCCCCTTAGCTCAGTCAAGTCAAGTTCTACTTCCCTAAGCATCCATTTGCATAATAATCAGTTTAGCATACATCCAAGCACCCAAGTCCTCCCACTCCCAAGTACTCAAGAAAAAGATTATTTCTCTAAAGGAGCGTATCTCTAATAGCAAATTTTTACAAATACGTTAAGTTTCTTTTCCCCAAGAGGGAAGAGAGCAAACACTACACAAAGCATAGCCTTGGGAGTCTGTTTTCTAGACTTGGTTATAACACAGATCATGACCTCAGCCTCCAGACCTATTAAAATAAGGATCCTCCGGTCTCCCACACAAATGTGGAGACATAATGCAAATGATACCACTGCCCAACACTTCTACAGAGTTCCACAAATGGCAAATGACTTATGAAATTGTAAGATTTCATTTACAACTGCAACAGCACACCCAGAAGTTAGCTCCTCAGCAGAATGCTGAGGCCACTTTCTCCCAGTCAAGTCTTGCTTTGTGAGATGGAGTCTGTGTGGGTTGAATCCGTGGAGCCATAAATAAAGGCTGCCGGAGTCTGTCACAAACATTCTCCACCGCCTCCTGTGATGAACATGACTTAAACCAGCTTATCGGCTCAAAGTAAGCTTTATCTTTATTGCCTGTCGATCAGAAAAATGCCTTCTTGCATCTGGTTCCCAGACACAAGACTCAACTGACAATCTCTGAAGAGCCCAGGGAAGGAGAGGAAAATCAGAAAGAATCAGACATTCAGCCAAAGGGGCAAAATCTGCCTCCCTCTGCACCCAGCTAATTTTGATTGGGGCAGGAAATAACCAAGGGGCTGAGACAAGTCTGAAATTTCAACATTCTTAATGAGGGTAGACAGTTCATTTTAGAGACTGTGAGTACCATCATTAGAGGACTCAAGAGGAAGCCTCTAATAGCATCCACAAAGGAGAAGGTTCAAAGTCACCTCAGAGAGAAGGTATGCTGGAGAACACCAGTGCTTCACTGTGGAGTGCCAATTAAGGAGACCATTCATGGTATAAAATTTATTTATTTTTTATTTTTTTATGGTATAAATTTTAAAGTACATATGGACTTTTTCCTTGTTTTATAAGGAAAGGGGATTGTCTTTCAAAATGTAGCTAATTGTTAGTTATATAACCATTTGGATAATAAAAAACAGATTTTCACTAGATTTCCTGAAATGCATATCTAAACAAAGAAAGGCATCATCTAACAGGAACATACTCCAACTGCAAACACGTGGTCAATTCAGCATTCATACTGTGATGGCTTCCTGACACCTCAGTCCTGCAAATTCTCTCACAGCATACCCATGGGGTTGTCAGCAGGACCAATCCTGGACCTAGAGCAGTGGTTTTCAACCTTGGCTACATGTTAAAATCATCAAGAGAACTTATAAAAAGCGTGAAATTTAGCATTCTTCTCAATGGATGCAACCAGGTTCACTAAATACTAAATGGAAGTTAGTATAAGATAACAGGCAAGAGGTGCACTGGCAAAGGAAATAAACTCATTTTTATCTCTGCACTTACCTTGGGTTTTGCACAGAGACCAAAGTCAATCAGCTTTAATTTATGATATTCATCAAACAACAAATTTTCCTGAAAAAAAAAAAAAAAGACATTTTCATAACTATATAGTCTTCCTTATATCACATCCTACCTCTGCTGCTGCTAAGTCACTTCAGTCGTGTCTGACTCTGGGTGACCCCATAGACGGCAGCCCACCAGGCTCGCCCATCCCTGGGATTCTCCAGGCAAGAACACTGGAGTAGGTTGCCATTTCCTTCTCCAATGCATGAAAGTGAAAAGTGAAAGTGACGTCGCTTAGTCGTGTCCGACTCTTAGCGACCCCATGGACTGCAGCCTCCCAGGCTCCCCCGTCCATGGGATTTTCCAGGCAAGAGTACTGGAGTGGGGTGCCATTGCCTTCTCCAATATCCTACCTCTAGCTACTCCTAAAAGCACTTTAAGGTTGGGTATGGAGTAAAAAAAATTAATTTAAAAAAAAAACAATGAAGTGACAAGAATAGAAGAGGAGAGGAATGCTGATAACTATCCTGCTTCCCCTCAAGACACAGTAGCATAAACCACTTTCTCCTCGGCACTCTGAGGCTCAACTACAAGCAAACACAATATGTGCCAAAGGCAAGTTTGAACAGAACAGGTGAACTCAAATCAGAGTTGGATAAAAACAAAGGGAAAAGGACAGAAACTGCCATATCTCGTTAGGGCAATTCTAGACCTCAAACTCTAGTACCAAACTGCATTGAAATTCATGCTCACCAGCATGCACATTAGTCAGAGCCTACACACTTGAGGAGCAAACTTTTATTCTGCCCTTGAAAAGCAGAGTCTGCCCATTTCACTGAGCTGTTCATTTCTGAAGCACAATGAAATTAAAATTAAAGGAAGATGATGTCAGGAAAAGAGTATCAAGAGGAAGATACTCAAAGACAATATTCTCAAAGAAAAGATTCAAAACTCTTCTTTCCTAGGGATAAAACCTGAGATTTATACTCTGCAGCTGATCACAAAGACTTTATAATGTCACACAACATTGACAAAGAAACAGAGTGCCGATCAGTCCGTCCAGAGAGCCCGGCAGGAGTCAGAAGGCAAACAGGAGAAGGAAGATGCATTAGGGACGGAGCAGAACAATGAGCCAAGCCCAGATAAGCTCTAAGCAGGACGAGCATTTGGAAACAGCGATGCCAGGTAAACGATGCCGAGTTCTCAGGTGAGCATCTGTGATGCGGTCACTTACTGGTTTGAGGTCCCTGTGAGCATAGCCCTGGCTGTGCACATATGCAACTGCAGATACTATCTGACGGAAGACAATACGGGTCTCCTCCTCTGACAGGCGATCGTGGGAAATTATGTAGTCAAACAGCTCTCCTCCAGGGCAATACTGCAAGAGCAGCAGAGTCACATAAATATCATTATTACTTGCGAAATCAGAGGCATTTAAAATTAAAAAATCATACTTAACTCAGAGATGTTGTTAATTCAACTTATAAGCAAAGGAATGAACTAATTTAGGTATATTCAAAAATACACTCTCAGTATTTCAGCGTCTGGAATACTTTTGGTCTTGAGCTATTTTTTTTAATTAATTTATTTATTATTTTTTAGTTGCACTGGGTCTCTTGATGCTTCACGCAGGTTTTCTCCAGGAACAAATTCTAACCTATTCTGTCCACCATCACATGAGGAGTATATCACAAAGGATATATTTACAATGTATCTCCAATTTATTATACATGTCTACTTGGTCTAAATTGTTACAGATAGAACTTAAACAGGTAAGCCACTTAGCATTTAATCTTGCAAGTGAAATGAATTTAATACCTCTCTCATAACTACCATAAAATGAAAGAGAATGACCTGAACAAACGTTTGGGTCCCCAAAAAAATTCCTGTGTGGAAACTCTAAGCCCTGAAAATGGTGATTTTAGAAGGCGGAACCTTTGGGAGATGATTAAGACATGAGGACGGAGTCCTCGTGAATGAAATCAGTGCTCTCATTAAGAGAGGCTCCAGAGAGATCCCTAGCCTTTTCTATCACGTAAGCACATAGCAATAAGGTACCAGCTATGAACCAGAAAGAGGACCCTCACCCGACCACGCTGGTGCCTTGATCTTGGGATTCCCAGCCTCCAGAACTGTGAGAAGTAAGTTGCTGTTGCTCATAAGCTACTCAGTCTGTGATACTTGTTAGAGCAGCCCAGACAGACTAAGACAGAGACAAACAACTTCAGGTCTCTGGAACTTACTACTGACCTCAAGAACCATGAATATGTTGTTGGCTGTCTCTATCACATGGTAGAGTTGGCATATATGCTGGTGTCTCAGGTTCTTCAAGGCGTCAATTTCTGTTTTGACCCGAGGCAAATCACTCTGTGACAAAACATTTTATTAATGAGCAATAAACTTATTTGGAAAATATTCCAAGCCCCAATCTCAACAACTCTAATACTAAGTAGCAAAAGCAGTCAATGGCCTCAAAACAATTTGCTCAACAATACAGAAATAGAAAACAAAGGCTTATTTCTGTGTACATTTTCAAGAGGACCTGAGGGTTTTACAAAAGAAAAGTTCAATCTGAGGCAAGAATACAACATCCAGAAAAAATAAAATAACCTCACTCCCTTTAGAAGGTTAGCATTCCAAACGAGGAAAACGACAGGAACACCATCCAGTGTGCATGTCTAGGCCACCCCTTCCGTCTCCGCAATGTCCATTTGGACTCTGTGGGAGAAGGCGAGGGGTGGGATGTTTCGAGAGAACAGCATCGAAACATGTATATTATCTAGGGTGAAACAGATCACCAGCCCAGGTTGGATGCATGAGACAGGTGCTCGGGCCTGGTGCACTGGGAAGACCCAGAGGGATCGGGTGGAGAGGGAGGTGGGAGGGGGGACCGGGATGGGGAACACATGTAACTCCATGGCTGATTCATGTCAATGTATGACAAAACCCACTACAATATTGTAAAGTAATTAGCCTCCAACTAATAAAAATAAATGAAAAAAAAAGAAAACAACAACAAAAAAGAAGCATGATGAAACCTATGGCTGATCCATGTTAATGTTTTTTTTTTTTTTCGTGTTAATGTTTGATAGAAACCACTGCAATACTGTAAAGCAATTATCCTTCAGTCAAAAATAAATTTTTTATTTATTTATTTTTTTTAAACACTTTAATGTTACAAGATTTTAATATATTTACCCATATAAAGTTTTGTTCTATAATACAATATGCAGAGAATATAAGATTGAAGATAACTGTTAGTACTGTTTATTCCTAATAAACTTTGTTGCTGAATGTTTTTTTTTTTAATTTATTTATTTATTTATTTTTTTTTTTTTTTTTTTTACATGTATTCCCCATCCCGGTCCCCCCTCCCACCTCCCTCTCCACCCAATCCCTCTGGGTCTTCCCAGTGCACCAGGCCCGAGCACTTGTCTCATGCACCCAACCTGGGCTGGTGAACTGTTTCACCCTAGATAATATACGTGTTTCGATGCTGTTCTCTTGAAACATCCCACCCTCGCCTTCTCCCAGAGTCCACAAGTCTGTTCTATACATAGGAGTCTCTTTTTCTGTTTTGCACATAGGGTTATCGTTACCATCTTTCTAAATTCCACATATATGTGTTAGTATACTGTAATGGTCTTTATCTTTCTGGCTTACTTCGCTCTGTATAATGGGCTCCAGTTTCATCCATCTCATTAGAACTGATTCAAATGAATTCTTTTTAATGGCTGAGTAATATTCCATGGTGTATATGTACCACAGCTTCCTCATCCATTCGTCTGCTGATGGGCATCTAGGTTGCTTCCATGTCCTGGCTATTATAAACAGTGCTGCAATGAACACTGGGGTGCACGTGTCTCTTTCAGATCTGGTTTCCTCGGTGTGTATGCCCAGAAGTGGGATTGCTGGGTCATATGGCAGTTCTATTTCCAGCTTTTTAAGAAATCTCCACACTGTTTTCCATAGTGGCTGTACTAATTTGCATTCCCACCAACAGTGTAAGAGGGTTCCCTTTTCTCCACACCCTCTCCAGCATTTATTGCTTGTAGACTTTTGGATAGCAGCCATCCTGACTGGTGTGTAATGGTACCTCATTGTGGTTTTGATTTGCATTTCTCTGATAAAAATAAATTTTTTTAAAAAGAAGCCTGCTGAGTTAAAAATTGGTGAGTGTAGATAAAAGGTATTCACTATCTCAGTCTTTCAACTTTTCAAAGAGCTTGAAATTTTTCAAAATAAGTCGGCTGGGAGGAGGATAGCCAAGTTGAAAAAATTTTAAAGTCCACAGTAAAGATAAGAATCCAGATATCCATGGAGTAAACAAGTAATATTTTATTTAAAAAAGGGACTCAGTCTAATGATCAGTGGTTTAAGATCCAGTTAACTTAGGGCCATGCAACCTGATATTAGTTCTTAACCAAGAAGTTGTAACTTTAACTATTCTGATATGATGATCTATCTTTTTTCTTCTTTTTTGGGGGGATGTGGTAATCTGATGACTAAAACCCTGAAAGTAATCAAAATATTTTTAAAGTCCTAGGAAGTAAATAAAATAAGCACAACAACAGGAAATATAAAAGCCAGTTTAGAATTAATGAATTAATATCATCATATTGATGCTTTAGAATAAGTTTTGAGTACTAGTATGTTACATTTGATAATAACAATTCACATTTTATCGGCTATTAAGGTGTTTGCTGGGTCAAGTAAATAAGGTACACCAAAGTTATAATTGAAGTTTAAATTTCTTAAGGGAATTAAATTAATCAGTTTTATAACCAACATTTAAATGATCAAGACAAATGATTTTTAATACTTTTTTATTAGTTTAATGAACATAATATTGAGCACTGAAAACAAAAACACTGAAGGAGAGCCTGAATTGTCAGTTGACAGGTTATTTAAAATAATTCTGATATAGATCACTTCGTGATTTTGGCATATATTTCAGAAGGAGTTCAGAGAATTGAGTGATACTACTATAACACGACATTCTCTTCAACTTATTCGTATAAGTTAATCAGCACTTAACATCCTTAAAAATAACGTAACAATTCATATTAAACTCTGCCAGGCTCCTCTGTTCATGGAATTTTTCAGGCAAGAGTACTGGAGTGGGTTTCCATTTCCTTCTCCAGGGCATCTTCCCAACCCAGGGATCGAACTTGCATCTCCTGGGTCTCCTGCATTGGCAGGCAGATTCTTTATCTGCCTGCCAATATTTTTTACCTGAGATATTCTTTATCTCAGTGGAGCCACCGGGGAAACCCTTTTAAAACAACAGATTTATACATAACTGGCTGTGGAAATGTTATTTTAATAAAAGAGCAATAACTAGAACATTAGAGAAAATGCAGGTTGTAATGCACGAAACTGATCCATAAATATTTTTAAAATAATGTTAAACTTACCCCTAGCGCATTTTTATCCATGATTTTTATAGCTACCATTTCTCCAGTGAGGATATGGCAGGCAAGTTTGACCTTTGCAAAGCCACCTAAGTAAAGGAAAATGTATTATGAAGAGATAAGTGAACTAACTTAAATATCATCAGCTCAGCAAACTGAAAACTCAAGCACAAATACCTTTCCATGTACTTTATAAAGCTCTCTTGAGCTGTATTTTCCTGAAGTTTGTGGCCCTTTTTTACATATTGCTTTCAAAGCGTTAGCCATGATTCTAACCTCTCTTTATCCAATGACTGGCTAAAGATTCCTTTTTGCCATTATAGGACATCTTTAATTTTGCAATTAGGAAGAAGTAGAGATTTGTTTTATAATTCTTTAGAAATTTGTTTTATAATTAACATTGCAATTAAACCTGCTTTTTAATTAACATTGTCAAAACACCATATAAATTTGCAGAGACAAATAATATGAAACTTCTATTCAGTTTTAAAACTGAAAAACTAAGCAATTATGTTTCAAAATTGGCTCAAAAGCTGGGTAAATATCTACATTCAGGTATCTGAAAGAAACAAACTTAGTACCTCTAAAAAGAAGTTCCCAAAAGTCCCTCCCATGGTGTTCCCCATCTCAGTAAATGGCAAACTCATCTTCTCAGATCAGGCCAAAAGCCTGGAAGTCATCTTTAGCCTTTCTCCTTTGTCTCACACCCCATACCGAACCCATCAACATAGCCCATTGACCTAGGCACTGTGACCAAAAAAAAAAAAAAAAAAAATAGCCCATTGGCTCTGTCTTCAAAAATTTATTCATGTTTATCTTGGGGGAAAGGAGGCAGGCACTGAATGGAAACATTCTATGTCCTGATCTGAACATATGGGCAAATGTGAGCCAAAACGCCACCAAATGTATTACACTTTTCTTATTTTACTATGTATTATGTCTCAATAAATTATATTTATATATACACACGTGTGTCTGTATGCAGAAGCCCACCCCTTTCTATACACAGAATCCCACTACCTTCAATTCTATCACCATCCATGTCACCACCATCTCCAGTATCACTCACCTAAATTACTGCAGTAACTTCCTAACATCTATCTGCTTCTGCCTTTGCCCTCTCCCAGCCATTTTTTCCACAATCAAGTAGCCAGAGTGATCCTTAAAAACAAAAGGTCAGATCACTCCTTGGCTCAAAACTCTCCAGTGACTTTTATTCTTAATAAAATGAACTGCAAGACCTTTCCTACAACTCACCTCTCTCTTGCTCAACTTTTTCTTACTAAAATAAGTTCAGAATTTTTTAAACTATATAAGTTAGGCTAAAAAGCTCATGGTTTGGCAGAAACCAACACAATATTGTAAAGCAATTATACTTCAACAAAAAATAAGTAAATTTTTTTTCATTTTTAGAGTCTTTATTGAATTTTTTATAACATTGTTTCTGTTTTTTTTTTATTTTTTATTGAAAGATAATTGCTTTACATAATTTTGTTGTTTGCTGGAGAGGGTGTGGAGAAAAAGGAACACTCTTGCACTGTTGATGGGAATGTAAATTGATACAGCCACTATGGAAGATGGTATGGAGATTCCTTAAAAATAAGTAAATTTAAAAAAAAGAAAAACAGCTCATGGCTGCCCCGTTTCACTCTACTCTCAAATGGATGACCTATTCTCTTCAAGAAAAAACTAATTACCTGTCCCAATAGTTTCATACAATTCATAGTATTTGAGAAGTTCATCATAATCTTTCATAGTCCTCCTGGAAGTTTACTCAAAATTATAAAAAGAACCTGTAAGACAAAAGAGTACACAATCAAAAAGGTAAATACTAAGAGATGATCTCCTTACTCTTGTAACTACAAATATAAATAAGTCTCAGGCATATAAACCATATTGAGAAAACTGATTAGCCATAGTAAAAAACAAAACAAGATAAAACTGGATTCCTCTCACTCCATACATAAAAATCAATTCCAGATCAAATAAAGACAAGTATGAAAAGTAAATCTTTAAAACCCTTTAATATAATATTGTTATCATTTCAGGATAGAAAAGGGTCCTTTCAATAGGCAGAGAAACGGTTAATCATAAAAATAATCAGACTGGATGTTCTCATCAAAATTTGAACAATGTTTCCCACAGGGCTTATCCATGACCATGTAAAGAATGTTCCTAAGTGAAGCAGTTAAAATTATTTAACATTGATTTTTATTTATTTGGCTGCTCTGGGTCTTAGTTGCTTGCAGGATCTTTAGTTGTTGCAGCATGCCAATTCTTAGTTGCACCATGTGGGATCTAGTTTCCTGACCAGGGATCAAACCCAGGCCCCCTGCATCAGTAGCACAGTATTAACCACTGGACCACCACGGAAGTCCCTGAAGCAGTTAAAATGATAATGTCCTTTTATTTGACAGACTGCTGCTTTCTCACCAATGACACCCCTAGCGCTACCTCATTGCTCCCACTTCCTTCTTCCTCAGATAGACAAAAGCTGAAATGCTCCTGCTCTTTGATAGAATCCATTCCAAAACTGGTCCTCGTTTCCCCAGCACAAGCCCAAACCATATAAGCCCCTTTCAACTCACTCTTATTGAGATGCCCAAGACCCTAGGGAGCAGGATTCCTCTTGCTGCAGCAAGCTAAGGACACCTAAAGTTTTTAAATTACAGATGTGTTCCTAATGGTTTGTAGTTCACAGGCCTTAAGAAAAATTGCTAACTTGAAAAAGAATGAGAGGAAGAGAATTCCAGAAAAAAAGAATGTAGGTGCAAAGATCCCAGAGGAAGAAAAGGCTGACATGTACCGAACTGAAGCTGCTTTCAGAAGTACCAGCATAAAGAAATGCAGATGTGGTGCTGGGACAACTGGTTTAGGCATGTGGGGAAAAAGAACACTGCATCTCTACCACACACCACACACAAAATCAATTAGAGTAAAGACTTTAAAGACAAACGTTTAAAATATATACAGATAAGGCCTTACTCATACCAGACCTATAGCTAGGAGTGGCAAGAGGAAGATCATGAAGATGACAATTAGAAAAGTAAGAAGAATATAGCTTCATGGAAGCCAAGAAGGAAGGGAAAAAAGCAAAACTGGTAAAAGAAAACTTCTAGGAAGCCGATTTCTAAATAAATTTGGAAGCGCTCCTATACAGGTCAAGTCCTGGGACCTGAGTTTAGGTGCTGCAAAGTGGAGCTTTCTTATAGGTAAACCAGCACAGCACACCAAGGGATCTAGAGATCACAAAGGGCTTTGAGCCAAGACCTAGCTAGTGACGAACTCCTCCTTTGCTGGTACGACTCCTGAGCCCAGAGCTTCCTGTGACCTAGCAGCGGACTGGGTATGGCCGTACAGGGTTCAAGACCCCAGGACCCCACTCTCTGCACCACTTAGGTAAGTATATGCACAGCCAACTGGGGCTTGGGTAAAGTTCCACCTGGAGAGGACAGAACTCATGCATGTCATAATTACTACCACTCCGTAGTGGAAACCTGGGGCTGGTGCTCCTTTCTAGAGCCAGATAGCCTCCCTTACCAACACGGAGAGTTTTAGCAAATCTGCTGAAGGCTCTGGGATCAGTTATGTGGCCAGCATCATGCTCACTAACTTTTAAGTTCTCTGTCCTTCATCCTGGCTCTTCCAGAGCCGAGTGACCAGCATGTTATTAAATCTTAATAATGGTGGTGACTTTGGAAGACCTAGAGTATGGTCTAGTCTCAACCTCAGGACTATGATGAGTTTATAAAGGAAAAGAGAGTACCAGGGAAGGTTTTTACTATAGTGAACATGGGCCATCTTCTTAAACTGAGGTGGAGAAAACACTGAATGAAATGATCAAAAGCCCAAGAGCCACAGATCTTTTTTTTAATATCCCTTTAAATATCCTCTTAAAATGCTTAAAGCACTCTGATTCCATGAGTCATTTTACTTGGAGATAAAAGGTAGGTTATTTAGCAAGTAAAAAACCTTCAAAAATTTGGTCAGTGAAATAAACCCTAGAGCGAAAGTTTTGGAGGGAAAAATATCAAAACTCAAGAAAACAATCAGCTTAAAAAATGGTTTTAGTAGCAACGTCAAAGTTGAAATAGCAAGAAAGATACAGACAATGGAAAAAAGACCGAGATCCAGTAACAATATTAGTCATTTTCTAGGAAGAACTGGCATTGGACCAACTTAATAAGCAGGTGGAACTATTAATCTAGCTGAGTCTGCATGAATGGCGTAGGCAAACAAAAGAAGGAAACTCAGGTCCTGATGCTAATAGAAAGCTGGTGACACAGAATGAAATATTTCTGCTTCCATTCGCGTGGCAAAAGTTGTTCTAGGCAAGAAGACAGTACAGAGGACATATTTACTCTTCCTGGGCACCTGAGATGCAGGATGAGAAATATCCTTAACAGCAGTACGAATTCAGAAACCTTTTAAAGCGCATTTGTCACTGGAGCAGACTGGGAATAAAGTGGAACAACATCTCCAAAGACAGGAATTATAGGACTAAGAACTTTTAAAACAGGTATAAATAGCAGTAAAATACAGAGGTCAATACAAGGGTAAGAAATCTTTGGGATCCTAATGAGGGAGAAGAGAGTGACCAGGATATTGGAAATGGAGGGATGTTAGGCTATAAATCTGTTTAGAAAATTGTCTGATACAAAAGTAGGCTATCACGTTCCTTAGAGAGCAGAGCCCCAGCTAATGCAACATTGGGGTATTCAGAACATAGGGGTTAAAGAGGAAACACAGACAGACATTATGAAGCTTAAAAACCACGCAATGGAAAAAGTTCCCCAGTGGCCTAGTGGTAAGGAGTCCAGTCTTTCACTGCTGTGGTCCAGGTTCAAGCTCTGATGGGCAACTGAGATCCTGCAAGCCGCATGGCACAGCCAAAAAACAAACTAACAAAAGACCATGAGATGAAAATAGACAAAGGGAAAGAAACAGGCCTTAGGAAATATAAGATTCTAATGGCCACCATGCACATGCCTAAATTCCATACCAAAGACTGGGCTATGTTTAATTGCCACTCAGAAAAAGAAAGCAATTGGTATGATGTTGGAATTGATTTTCCCAGATAAAGGACATAAGAGCATCTTAGTCAATGTATTGACGGATTTTTCCCAGATGAGTTTTGAACCTTCAGGTTATGGCCTCCAGTCAACTAGCAGAGATCGACCTGCATCAGTGTAAGACTGAATCACATACCTCCTCTTTTTTTCTTCCTTCCATTTGCTTATCTACTCCCTTCCCTCAAATCATGCCATGTCTTCAGAGAAGTAAAACTAATGTGGGCCTAAATTATAACTATTTAATCCAGCTAACATTATTTTTGCTACTGTATAAGAAAACTAGTGTCTATATCGCAAACTGCTATAATGATAGCAGATTTTACTTGGCTTGTGGAAGTAGAATTGGTTCTAAATATTCTTAAGTCTCCTCGCTGTTTATCCTCTAGAGTCTGGAAATATAGAATAAGGACATGTGACTGGAGTTACCCAGCTGCTGCTAAAGGAGGTATATGATCAGTTAAACATGGAAGGGAACCTCCCAACTGTGGTTAAAGAAGAAGGAAACGACCCCAATCAGACACCTGACTGTCCTTCTGAATGTGACTAAATAGAACTGGAGCTATATAAAATTGTGGACCTGAACTTTCCAGAGGAAACAAGGAATTGCCTAGACAGTGGGAGGAAGTTTACCAGTAAATTTTATAGGACAGCAACAAATTGGAGGCATTTTCTTACCAACATAGTCTTGTTTAGGCTTTGCTATTACCTGTTGTGTAGCACATTTATGTTATCTAGTGAGCTTGGTAAGACATTGATGCTGAGGATATTTCACATGAGAAGCAGAATACAGAATGTCTTACAATATGACCTTGTAATACATTTAATTAACATCCAGTTCTGTTCCCTTGCAGAGGCTTTGGGAGCACCAACAGAGAGGCGTTCATTCCCAAAGGCAGTAAGAGATTGATCTGATCATCTCCTTGGTCCAAAGTAGATATACTGAAAGGATGGATCCACTGGTGAGACAAGCCCATGAAGATGCAGTGAGGGCGTTTCTGACTTATCCCACACAGCACAGAAATAGAAACCAAAATATGAACAAAAAAGTGAGGAACACTAGTCTCTAAGCGAAACTCCAGGCACCTGTGACGCTGCCCCACCTTCTCCCTTTCCCTTGCCACTACCAAAGAGAAATACCAATGGTGAAGCTCAAGTTACTCATCCTAGGAATGAGAGGGGCCGGATCACGCCCCGACGCCCTCCTTTGGCAGCCTCCCTTTCCCTACTGGTCTTTCGGTGAGGGCCACTTCTTTTACTCTTGTAACATTCGGTGTATACTCCCCTTTAGTGTAAGTCTCTTAAGCAACTACTTTGAGAAGGTGAAGGAAGAGGAAGCCTTTGGACTCTGAAAGAGGAGTGATAAGACATAACACATTTCCCTTTTCACTGAACTGCCCCAGTAAATTGAGTTGTACGAACAGAAACAACTTGAAATCCTTCTTCGAACGTCTTTCTCGGAGACCTTCAAGGTCGTGCAAACGTGGAATGGGAATTCACATCTACCCCAGCCTCCTAGGTGGCAAGCGCTTCCACTGCACACCTCATCGATAACCCGGAGGCGGCTACGATCACTATCCCCACTTCCAGCGGAGAAAAACGGGGGTCGGAAAGGCTAATTATCTCATCCAGGGAACCGAACTCGTAAGGCGGGGGCTGCAGGAAGTCTCCGGAGACCCCGGTGAG